CTCTCTCTCTCTGTGGGAGTCCAAGGGTTTTCAGACACTCTAATGAGCTGTCACCCCTCCATCCCGTAGATGGCTAAGACACCACCCCTGCTACCGCCTTCTTGCCTCGTGCAGCCACTACCACGGCCTGCTTTCTTCCACTCCCCCACCTTGCTCTCCTAAACCACCACTTCCTCTCAGAGTGGAAGGCTAGGTCGTGAATCTACTTTCTTCGATTCTCCCATACCACATTTTTCGGGGACTCGGCTTCACCGGGACAAAAATGGCTGGTGGCGTCAGCTGAAAACAAAAGAAAAGTGCCCAGGAAAAGCTTGGCACGCGGTTCTCCACCTCGGGAGAAAGGGGCTGAGAGGTGGTGGTGGTTTAAACAATCAGTACATCCGAGCCTCTTTTCGCCGAGGCAGATTTCCCCTGCGTGGCGCTCTTTCTTTTCTTTTGGCTGGCGCTGCCTGCCATTTTGTCGTGAGCCATTTTTCAGAATGAGCCAACTTCCATTCCCAAATTTGTCTGTGGAATGTTCTGGCAGTTTAAGCATTGCATTAAGGAATGATTATCATCCGTGTTGCATGCAATGCTATATGCATTGTATTCTCTGAGGTCGTACGCATAGCATATCTGGCCGTCCTCTACATCTGTGCTATTAACGAATGATTCTATAAGATGTTCTCATACTGGGTTGTTTTCTTACACATTGCACACACAACCTCCTGATGACCCGATCGAAGTCCTACGAAACAGTCCAGCACAGTCATGCCTTTTTTCCTGGAGTTGTGTATAGCGAACTCGATGACACGCACTCACACACACACACACACACACACACACACACACACACACACATGCAGGGCTGGCCTGAGCAAAGTCAACCACTTTTCACAGGGGTATCACTAACTCTCGGCCACATCATTTTAACGTCCAGATGAATTCGTGAAATTTGGAAAAAGAAGTCTGGCAGTCTTTTGGTGAAGTTGTGTATAGCGAACACACACACACACACACACACACACACACACACACACACACACACACACACACACACACACACAGAGGTGCACACACAGATCACACAAAAGCACACCCACTCTTGCTGATGGCCACTCAATAGCTTTACTGTCCCTTGGCTTCCCATCCATTAAAGTGAACAATAACAAATGTGAGGTAAGCAGGTTGAGTAATGAATAATAACTAACAGGCATTTGATTGAAGCTTGGTCACAACGAGAGGTTGCTAATGACAATAACGTAAACAGACATCCACACAACACTGCACGAGGCAGACAAATAACAAAGTCCAATGTCTGCATCCGAATAAAAGACGGTGTTAGGGTGCAATTGCATCAGAACAGTTCTGACTTACCCGTCCATCGGACCTCCAGAAGCACCATTCTCTCTCTCTCTCTCTCTCTCTCTCTCTCTCTCTCTCTCTCTCTCTCTCTCTCTCTCTC